GCAATAAACATAAGAGTGTAGGTTTCCCTTTGAATTTCCAGGGGTGGAATTGCTGGGTACATTTTTAGTGTTTTAGGATCCTCCACACAGCTTTCCATTGTAGCTGAACCAGTTTGTATTCCCACCAGCAGTCTAAGAGGGTTCCTTTTTTTTTTTTTTAATATGGCCATTCTCATCAGTGTGAGGTGCTATCTCATTGTGGTGTTTGATTTGCAATTCTCTAACTATAAGTGATGTTGAACATTTTTTCATATACCTCTTGACAATTTGCATTTTTTTCCAGAAGTGTCTTTATAGCTCTTCTGCCCATTTTTTAACTGGGTTATTTAATTTGTTTTTGTTGAGTTGTGTAAGCTTTGTAGATCTTTGATATCAGTCTCTTATCAGATGTACAATATGCAAATATTGCCTCCCATTCAGTAGGGTATCTCTTTGTTTTGGTTACTGTCTCTCTTGCTGTACAGAAGCTTTTTAGTTTGATATAGTCCCAACTGTTTATCTTTTCCTTTATTTTCTTTGCTTTTGGAGATGAATCCTCAAAGATGGGAAAACATTTTTTAAAGCCTTCTTCATGATATTGATTTAATTTACAAATGAAAATCTATGTTTCTTAATCTCTTTCATAGTACTAGCTTGATCAAATTTGAAATCTTTATTACCCCATCATCCTCTCCAAAGCTCCTTTCCTTTCTCAGGGGCTCCCTGGTAACATGGTACCGCATGTTTGCCATCCATACCTCTCTCCCCCCTCCTCTTAACCACATCCATACTTTCTCTTAGGCCACATGTCTGGTCTCCCCTTGGGCTTTACTGTTAGGTACCCCACTGAAAATCTCACTTAAAAATGAATGAAGTTTGAATGATTAGGATAACTTTATTGCCCATATTCTCCTGAGAGTTTTTAGATGTGAATAAGGGACAACTGAAAATAAAGTTCATTAACTTAAAGAAGGAATTATAAATGGAATTAGAGGCATACTACAAGCCAATAAAGTTCGGAGGAGGGATGAAGGGTATAGAGGCAAGAGAAGAGTTTGAACTTTTACATCATAAAATAGTGATGTGGTGCATTATGTACAAATATGTGTCTATACCTTGAAACAATTCATATGGTGATTCTTGCCCAGACATTTGATGTGTTTAAGAAATGAAATTTCCTACTAAAGACTACTATTCTTTTAGCAGACAGGCACAGAGAATATTCTTCACTATAATGCTGCATTGAATTCCTACAGTTCCTCTTACCAGCAACTCAGTTACATTAAAACGTGCATGTCACTTCACTCTACAGAGATATATATCAGTCTGATCACTTCAGTGTAGCTATGAGTTAACGTCCCAAGTCATAGAGGAACGGGCTTCTTACCTGGTTGCCTGCCTGCCAGGAAGAGCATTGTTAATTTTTTGCTCTCTCCTGTACGCAATAATGACCATTCATCCCATTACCAACTCATTTCATCATTTTAAGAGCATCCTCATAGATTTCAAATGAAAAACATCATCTCAATTTTTGCCTTAATGTTGTTTGTGTGTTGTGGTGGTGTTGTTTATGGCTGTTTGCTTTTTGTTTTGTTTTGCTGTATTTCTTATTTTCAGAATTTTGCTCTTAGATTGCAAGAGTGACCTCTAGTGTGAAACATCTGTATAGTTATAATCTCAAATGCCAGGACCTCTCATCCAGCCCTAATTTCCACAGGTATTGGTGTTATAAAAAATATAACTAGCAAGATTACTACGAATATGACAAATTATCGTCCAATAATAAAAACCCTAAGTCAAGTTTCTTCTTACTAGTTGTCATATATCTTATTTCCAAACTTTGGCCACCAAAGGATACCTACATTCTGGGATTATGCTATGGCAATGACTTCCAAAAATGCCCTTGCAAGGAACTAGAAGTAAATTGCAGCATACTTTATGAGCTGGATGAATTTGACTGCAGAAAAATTCTTTTTCAAGTCTCTTATTGCCCCTGGCATTCCTGTTGTGAATAATTGGCTGGCCCAGTCACCTGTTCTCTTTCTTCTCCTGAGAAAGGAAGTGTTTTCTTTAACACCACACTAGGTAGACTCAAGGCATAAAGAACATACTGTATTCTTCACAGGCAAAATTAAAAGTAGATTTAAGTATATGTCCTGCCCTCCTACAAGGTCAGCCAGAAAATTTTCAGTATGGTCAATGACATTTCTTATTCCCTACACAAGGTTAAATGGGAGTTTTGCCTCTCAAGAGCTACCTCCCTTTGCAGTAAAAATAACAATCCCTTACATTGGCAGAGTACTTGAACATTTACAAAGCACTTTCATCCACATAATTTTACTTCTCCCTCTCATAACTTTAGGAAGTAGATATTATTTGTCCCATTTCAGTGATGAAAAATATGAAGCCTGGTAAGATTTAAATGGCATATCCCAGGTTAAACACTTAAATGATAGAATTACAAGTCTTTGGACTCCAAACTTAGTATACTTT